TAAGTAAATGGATCAAACGCTAAACGCCGCCAAAAACGACAAACATGCAATCAAAAGATGGAAGCCTATGTATCACTATGCTAACATTATTCCGAGTTGCCGTAACTTAAAACTGATTTAACTTAATTCATGATTCGCTCAAATGTTAAGTTGATTAATCGTAATCATCAAATAATTGAACAAAACATCTCGTGCTTATCGCCATGTCACCATTATGGGTGACTATCGTTCGAACGCGAGTCCGTCTTTTGTATGATGAACTTTTCTCTATATTGACAAACAACAAGAAATGCTACTCGATTTCCGAAGCCTTTAAAAAAGTAGCGTCGGTGTTAATACGAACAGAGGATAAAAATCTTATGCATCACTCCTTGTATGCTATAATAAACGACAATATCCGTATGTGTAGATACGATCAATGCTGGCTGTGAAAGCAAGTATGTAAAAATTCTGAGAACTTTGGATCTGAAGGCGTCACCAAGGGTACGATGCAAGAATTCAAGTTCATAGCCTGAACGAGACATAGTATGTAAAAATTTAACAGCTTCTGTTACGAATTACATGTTACTTTCTTATATGAAGCAATGTATCGTTTTGCGTAATTCTAGTGCCCCCTCCCTGTATTGTTACACGTGGAGAGCTCCAAATCAAAAGGAGGCGCCGCAAACGTCATATTTTTTCCGCTAGTTAATAGTGCTAACAAATCAACGGTGCGCACTGACTAATTTTCGGCTTATTTATAGAATTACAGTTTTCAAAAAGGCTAAAAAGACCGCGTCGGATTGCCCAAAGTACTACGCCATAATCATCACGTCACACTTATTAGATTAAGCGGTAAATACAGCATAAGTCGCCTCTTCAGACCTGGAAAAGAATTGCAGTCGACACCGAAACAGAGGAGCAATATAGGGCCAAAGGTGTTGTTTCAATGCAGCAAATAGCGTATCTGGAGCGGGAAGTTTTTTTAGTTGAGCTCTTCCATTTTTCATTCGCGTGATGCCCGCTGACCGGAAACTTGCTGAATAGATTTCCTTATTTTTGCTGAATATATATATAATATGAGGTTCGATAGCTTGCCTGGCCAATGCAGTGTCGCGAACTAATCAGAAGAATCTGCAGACGGTGCGATATACATTTTACACAATAAAAACTTGCGCTTAGCAAGAATATTGCCGTTTCGGTTGTTGGCTGGAAAACAGCCGAGGGACAAGAAATTACTTTTTTTTATTTGGTAGAGTACATTTTCGAAAGTGATGCTATGTCGCTCCGGAAAAGCCTTTAAAGGTACTTATCTGGAACTTTACACTCGTATTAAACTTTATCAGTTATTGTCTAATAATTTTCAGAAACGTCTAAATTTATAATGAAGCTCAAATCTAATTTTAGGGTCTTATCGTTTCTGCTCAGAATTATTCGGGACCATATTAACGCAGTCAGATAGAAAACAGAACATCGTACATCACAACTTATGTAAATAGAACTGTTTTAATTGCACACGTGGAACATTTCAAAAGCATCCAAATTCCAACTGCAATGACTTAAGTGTAGATGCTTTCCATTAATACAAGCGCGACTACAAGAACTTAAAAAAAAACAGCAGAGAAACATCGCAAGTGACTGGCTTGTTTCTGTTGGGCCTAGTGATTTCTTCTGACCTCTGTCTTTAGAACGCTGTTTTTAGTCCCATTGTTTGAGCGGTTGCCCAAAAAGCTACCAAGTAGACAGTATAAACATTCGACCGTGTAACTATGGCAGAGTGCTCTTTGAAACAACTTCGTTTATCAACTCATGGACTAGGCCACAGGTAGCTGTTTCGATCGTGTCGGTCCTGCTATTAAAAGCTAATATGAATCCAGTTTTTTTAGAACTGCTAAAGGCACAACGAGCGAGTCCTCGTTTCAGATTAGCTTTCGTTTTCAACTACTATAAACGGAATAAATTTATTACAAAAATATCATATCTTTTAATCTGCCAGAGCTGAAGTTACAATGGTTATATATATATATATATATACATCCGTGCATTTCCGATACGCACAGTTTACGAGAAACCTTGAAGTTAGTTTATGTTAAAAAAATCATGATAACAATAACAATAGCTGTTAATTATTGTAATTAAATCAATATTTTGTTTGCTTACGCAAAGGATTTTAGCGCCAGTGTTGTTTAGAACGCGTCATAGTAATTTTTATATTTTTGCAATTTCCAAAAAGGGGCTTTATTTTAGAGCCACTCCATTTCTACGAGCCAAAGTAAAATATAATAAATGTAGCTAGTGTTTAAGTAAGAAACGTGTGAAAAGGTACGTCTAGTGTATGAGATGCGCGTAGTCATCTATTCAGTCCATATGTCAGTCCAGAAAAGGTGAAAGTTAGCCTTTTTGTCTAGATGCTATCTTTTTTATTATTATTTTATAACGTAATGTAACGTTGATATTTCGGCCAATCTCGAGAGTGGTTCGACAAATGTTCGGCAGATACAAAATGACTACTTGATAAGTACTTTTTTTTTGTCATGTAAATAGTTTAGCTGGCAATTGCCGGTAGCGGGAGGGCAAGAAACAAGATGGACCCGGAGGTGCTTGCAGTTCACAAATCTTAACTTCAATACCCGGATGGGCTTGTATGATTTTTCTCAAATTGTTTGATTTGTTATTTACACCAGCTTACTGCTCGGTCGGGCGCGATCCGCGCAAAGAGTAGAAGACCTCCCATGTTTTACTATATTTAAAATAATTCCACTCGTTGAAGATGCCGAATCAAAGGAGACGGGATATTACGGAGGTGGTCATACTAAGGCGTCTTGGTTGATAAAATTAGATTAGATGGTAAAAGACACATAACGGGTTTATCGTATAAGAGACTTCATCAGTCTTCAGCATTGAACACGCAAGTAGAAAAATAATTTCAATATCAAGCAACAAATCAGGTGCCACTTTGTTTATTGCAAAAAGATGGAAATGGTCATCAAAAATGTATTCAATATGCCTTTGAGCAAAGCAAGTTAACTTGTCCACATGATAGTTCACTGGCTAACGTATTTGCCTTCTAATCCTAGGGACACGTTACGGCCAAGATACGGCCCGGGCATAGACACGCTTCGTTTCGTGCTGGGAGCACGCTGGCTGATGGGATGTTTAACGGCGATACCGAATGTAAAACTCGAAACATAGAGGGCAGGATAGCTTGAAATGTAGGGATTTCTCAATCCAGTCAGATGTGTACATATCAGGACTGGTATATACCGAGTCTGAAACCGAACCGAAAGCGTCTAGGGTCAGCTGCCGTACTGCCAGGATTCAGATGCATCTGTTTATTTCCTTTCGAATCCGAATGAGATATGTTGTAAAACAAGTCCACGTTGAAGTATCGCAGAACTAACTCGCTGACTGAATTATATCGCAAAACAACACAAGAATTAGTGCATGACTAATAGCATCCGTACTGGGCAACTATCGAGTGATCTTTGACAACTATACATATCAGAGAGCCGCCTTATCCTAGCATCGAGCTTCTGGCTCTTTTTAATTGATCCGCCGATGCAAAAGCGAAACGCTTATTATATAGAATAGCTCATAATCATAAAACTTCAAACGCCACAAGAACAAGAATCAGTGCGGTCGGTGTCTATTGTTAACAATGTCCCACAGACCGAGGGATCCCTCTGAAGGTGACTAGAGACGTAGTTTTTCAAAGGAAAAACATATTAGAAAGCATTTCATCTCGCGGCCTGCACTGGTTGTCTGTTTCTGTTCATGACAATCTCGTCGACTATTTTTACCCTACCTGTGTCCGACAGCTCCTCCATTCAAGTAATACCTATATTTTTATATATCTGCAGTTGAGGTAGCGAAAAAAATGTTGTCTATTTTTAACCTGGAAAAAGCTGATACAGTCTGTTACTCGGCTCCTTATAATCGCAATGTATCGCTGCGTCAATCATTCTAACAGGCAATAGCAGCTAAAAAGTGACTTTTCGCAAAAAAGGCCCGATTTTCAGTCGCCTCGTAGACCAGTTTCTCTAAATAAAGCCGATCTGACAAAGTAAACCCAAGCTACACCATAAGCATTCAGAAACAGAAGGATCTTTGACTAAAACTGCAGGCCTCTCGCTCTATTAAATCTATGTTTCCTAGAGAAGCAGCTCTATTGATGATGCTCTAGTGGTAACGCGTTTTCCCACTAAGCTTAGGCGTACGTAAAATGGTCTAGCGTCCTAGCCATTAATATTAGTCTCACATTTAGACCTGACTATGAACTACATAAAAATATGTTCGGTTGCGCCAAACAGGCCATAAAATTTTTTTCCAAATCTTAAAGAAAACTCAAGGCTAGGCATGGTAGGAGCTAGCCACCTGAAGCCAGTAGAACTTGAGAGCAGAACCAGATCTGACATTAAAATCCATTTATATCTAATGATGCGAGCAACATAGTGGTAAACGTATGCCTGTTGTTAGTTACAAGCTCATTGCTTCCGAACGATTTTGCTATAAAATACACCTTGAATTTATCAGCCAACTACAACAAGGGAAAGCTCATACGTCATACGCGTAAGCCACTATATTTTTGTGTAGATTCAACCTGTATTTCACCTAACCAATTTATGACTTATTCAGTAGATCATATCTATGCTATGTTATGTACAATTTCGTTGACTAGTATTATAAACGTTGTGTAGACTTGTTTCAACACTGTCTTTACATCGTTCTCACCCTGAAAATCGGTGGGGTATCCCACAGCGAAACGCACACGATTACGGTAATGCTAAAGTAATACTACCGTCACGCAAAACTATCTTAATTTTACAAAGTAAGTACCGAAGCACACTGTCTGTCAACATGAATGCAATGTACTACGTCGTAGGTGACTGCCAATACTGTCATCTTGCCAGTCGCGAGTTTTCGTGCATCATAAAAAGGCCCATATACGTGTCTATCTTCTTCAAATCCTTCTACAATTTGTCTTACTCTCTGTGCTTTCTTTCTTTTTTCGACGTTTTCAGCCGTCTTTATCGTCCTTGCGTGTTACCCCCTTTGCTTGTATATGGTATGTATACACTAAACAGGGCTAATGATTACCTGTACGACCTACAAGCATCGAATGAATGCGTCTCGACACAAACGCTAAATAATGGTCGGCCTCCATTACGGCCGGCTAAGTTCCACAACGGCGGCGAAAATAACGCTTGAAAAAGTTTAAGCTAGTTGAAAGGAAGAGGTCGAAATTCGTGGAAGCTTCGTCATACGCCGTTAGCGACAACATCAGCAGATGGACTATCGCTACAAAGAAGACATTCCAGCGGGCCTCTTACGAGACTCCATCATATCGTACGGTCCTCTTGGACCTCTGCTAACACTGGGAGACCGAGTCGTCTGGGTTCTCCGAGATGGACCTCAGTTTGGCTGGGTTCGCTGGGTTGGCCGGTTACCTGATGTGACCGATGATGGCTGGACCATTGGGGTTGAGTTTGTAAGTGCAAAGAGGCATTATTCGAAGCCTGTATCCTATTTGTTGTAGTCAATCTGTGGAGCAACACTACAAACTGGCAAGTTAACATAAAAAAAACATACCGTGTTACAGACATTTGGTGCGTTCCATGAACTCAACGTATTGTACTATTGATGGCTGAATTTCAGGACAATCCTGTTGGTAGTGGAGATGGCCGGTTTGCTGGCAAACGCTATTTCTTTGGCCGACACGACCACGCTTTATTCCTGCCTAACACGAACCTCATGCGGGCCGATGAGTACCATTTACAAGTCGCCAAATACGGTATGATTTATTTTTTTAAATATAGCCGTTAGTTTGGTTGGCGTAACGATTTATTCATTTTTAAGAGGTCTTCGTTTGAATGGGCGCACTGACTTAACAAAGTATGGCGTCCACGTAGGTTCCACGAATCGTCCTATCGTCCGCTCACGGAAAGTTGATTGCGAAGTAATTAAATAACACATTGATAAAAATCCGATCGTGTCACGTTTTTGCTTAGGTAAAGCCTTACATCTTGTTCATTTAATGCAGCCTATCTGTGTGATAAAGGTTGTGTATGAAAGAAGCGTGCAGCTTGCAAGTAAAATGCACTGGGTGGTGAGCATACCCTGTCCTACATTTTCTATCTATCTAAATGGGCAAAATATCTATTCGACTGGGAAAAGTGATGTGATCTGGTCTGATGCACTGTTATTGTTGTATAGCAACTATATGTTAAAACGATGAACGGAGAGAAAAATGAAAATTATTCTTATAGTTTTAATTGCATCTCAAATCTAGCATCTGTTACTTCCTAATTATCAGAACCTTTCGACTATTGGGGTCCTACAGAGAACCAATTTCTTCACTGTCATTGACTGAGCAAATGCTTCGACGAAAAGTACCCAAATGGAAAAAGCCAGTAAATATAAATGTTAATCTTTTCGAGCTTTTCGTCTTGTTAGGCTGACAACGGATCGTAGTCAGAGTCACGATTGATTGACTAAATTTATTTAGACCCCAATGCAAAAAGTACTCACTCATTCGATGGCCATGGTGCAATATGCGTTTCTCTTTGTCACTGTATCCTCATCCATTAGCTGTAGGAGGTAGAGGATTTGTTTGAGTATTACTGTTTACCAGTATACTGAGTACCAGTAATAAGAGATACCAGCTCATTAATAACTTGCTAACGTACCCAGACTGTGACTCTACCAGAGTCGATTAATAGCTTAATATAACTTTCTTATATAATAATAGTATAAATCATCATTCGACTCTTATCGAACTGTTTGATGTGGACTGCTCTATTTCGTGTATTTAGTTGCATAGGCTAAAACTATCAATTGTAGGCAGATTTGAAACGAAAGGCATTCGATGTTCCTTGCTTAGCTGTGTGTTTAAAAATGGCGCCCTGTTTAAATAGTCGGGGTAATTAAGCTCGTTGATTATGGCCCAAGACAATGTGCGCAGGGGATTTTCTGCACTTATTAGAAATGCGGTGTAATTTAAGAAAAAGTTCATATATTGGTGATTTTATTTACCTTCACTCAAGCTAAAAGTAAATGTACTACTATAGAAAAAATTGTAGTAGAACGGGATCACTTATATAATACAAAACAACGCATATTGTGAGATATACTTTTTTGTTTTATTAACCCCATTTATTTCACTCGTACTCACTCGGAGTAACAAAAGTACTTGAAACTTAGATGTTAGTTTATTCGTGGTTCAAAGTTGTTTAGGATTATCTTGACTATTCTTCCTACGAATCAATCTTTTCATACATTACTCTTGCAGATGGTTTTGGATTGGGAAACCAGAAAGTGCTAGTTCCTCCGTACACAACGTTGCCCCCACGCACAAATCAACTTACAGTTAGTATTGGTGCTTACGAGACACACACTGTTGTCTTCATTCTATAAGTTAGTAAGTTACGTTGTGCCGCAAGGCTCATTTGGCGGTTTAAAACACCGAGAGCCACTCGATATTTTCAAAGTGCTTGTTTTACATCGATTAAAGTAGCAAGAAGGTGATTTGTAGTAAAGATAGAAGTAACAAAATATTTGAGAACTGAAGACTTCCGAGCGACTTTTTGCAGAGTACAGAAGATTTTTGCCTTACCCTGCGAGTATTTAAACTAACGGCTAAACTTTTCGATAGCCTTTTATTATTCTCAAATTTGAACTAGTTGATAGACAAAAGGTTATTGTTGCTTCGGAATAGTTTGCCATCAGCAGCTTTTTGCTATTGTTGCTTACCCTCTTTGCGAGTAGGTGTCATGTACGAATGCAATACCCTCGGTAAGACAGACTCGCCGAGCAACAACTAAGACTTGCTCAAGAACACCTGAATAATGGTGTTACTGAACCAGGCGATAATTTGGATAAAAGCGTGTCTTTTTTTACTAACATCAGTACCTATTATGACCTGGCTCACTTCCAGATCTTATCTCTCTGCTTACACGGTTCTGTAAATAGAAGTGTGCGTTTAGAGATAACCATAATTATGCTTCGTCGTCGTATACCCATATAACCAGAGTGTATACAGTCTATTGAAACGATTTGCCAACCGTAATAACGGTGCTATTGTATGTGTTATGTCAGAATGGCGCTGACAACGAACCCCAGTCGGAACCCTGCTCGGCAAATGCTACCCCTGTTCAGAACAAGAGATCAATGTTCCGTGCCTTTAAACTGAAGAAAAGTAAAAGTCTACAGGAAACAGTTGAAGCCAGCGAATCTGGCTATGAGAACGTCGGTAGCGGAACACATGGCTCCGGCGAACCTCAAGTGGACCCTTCAAGAGAGCTAATGCGTAAGGAGAAATTTCACTTTCACCTGCTACCGCTTCGCTTTCCCAAAAGCCAATCCAATTCTTCAGTGGTAAGTGTTCATTGCAGAGTATATGTAACGGCGTCCGTAAAGCCCCTCCCTTACTGTCTCTGGATAATTTTTGATCGTATTGAGTTTTTAAGCCCTCTTTTGTTTTACAACAAATTAAATTTTTCGTTGAAGAGTACATTCCCAAGGGTATTAATAGGCTCTTCGGAAACTGCTGTGCAATTGGCGAACAAAATAGGTCCAGGCTTAGCTGTATTTCTGGTTGCATAGTAATTTTCCAGTAAGCCTGCTTATTATAAGAACAGCATACTTAAAACAAAATCAAAATCTCCCTCGTAACAAAAGTGCATGTTAACTGCAGTAAATTCAATTACATTGAAGCTAAATTAGCATGGGGGTTTAACTCTGTCAATCATTCTCTACTCGGTCATATCTGTACCAGTGCTTTTCACTGTGCAAGTATTATCTCATACAAGAGCTAGATGTATGAGAACGTTAAATCGCTGCGTAAAAAAATGCTTCTTTGGGAAATTTGACATTGAGCAAGATAGCAACACTGCATCCTACCAACCGTCATAGGTGACAGCGGGACCAATTTTCAAGTTCTGCCAGAATTCAAAATTGGTTTAAAAGTTGGAACATTTAACTACCTGAAAATATACCCGTATCTCTGAATTTTGTATTCACTGCCAAAGGTGTTTTATGTACAAACACCTTTCTCGACAACAATCAAATAGAGCATAGTTGTTACTCAATCATTATGGTCTCCCATATGAACATGGATGTAAACGATATGGTAGGTATATCATCAAGGTAACCACTGGGTCCTCAACACAGCAGTAGTACGTAGTATTTGCATTTCCTTACTTTAATTTGCGATGACATTGATCTTTTTTAGGTTTACCTCTAACTCTGTCTCACTGCACTGGCCCAGTAAGGCCGGCTGGTTACCGGTGTGAAAATCCATTTTTAACCTTCTAACATAGTCAACGTTTTAGATAAGACAACTAACTGATTGGTACTCAACCGCTGAGCTATTTAGTTACTGCCTATCACAACCCATTGGCGAGCCCACTGTGCCGCAACACGCCGTGCGTGAAGGCTGCAACGTGTCCTGCTCACCACATAGAACGGCGCATTTATAACAATGATTACTTTAAGACGCCTCTATTTACCTGTACATGCTACTGTGTTGAGTAAACACTTCGATGTTGTAGGCCATCATACAAGAGAGATTACTCTGTAGCGGTCTATTCAATTGTCGAGCTGAGTCACTGTGAGGTTCGGTTGCCTGCGCGGACGCTCATGCCAATCTCGGTTCTTAATTTGGTCACGAGGGGAAACAATTAGCTTGTTGCGTATGATAGGAACATGGAAGGCGTCCTTGTCAAATATAGGCGCATGCAGAGATAGGTGTGTACTGCGCGCCGTAAGGCCTGTTGACTTTTGACCCAATATGCGGCGTATACATTGCAGTCGTCTGCACCACCGAATTTCGGACCCCCACGCATAGCAGGAGTTGAGCAGGACGCAGAAAATTCGTCGTTGTCCGGTAAGTCCTTTAAAAACAAGTCTTCCGTTCATTGATATTTTTTGCTAACTTAATTTATCCTGCACTCCGGTTTGGTAGTCCATTGACAAAAATTACCTTTATCACATCGCTCTCAGATGGCTGTTACTAGCTACGAGTGGATCGCAATGTCTTAATTATTATTGCAACTACCCGTTGCCTTAGCTTTTATAATGGTATGGGCTGTCAACTGAATTTCAGGAGAGGATGGTAGTCTTATGTCATGTCTACCGTCATTGGGTGGCAGTCTCCTTCGCCGCCGCAAGAAGGATAACGGCTCAGGCGGCGCCAGGCCTAAGAAAGCGAAACAGAAGCTTAAGAAACGCGCTAACGAGCAGACGCCACCGTTCGCCTTCCGTGAGTAAATAGGTTATCTGCCGATGACAATGACGACCATGGTTATTAACGCACTTCGTACGCTTTATTCGTACTTTCTCGTATATTCTGATACGTGAACCAATGGTCCGTGTATGTTCTATATGCGTGTACGGTAACGAATGCATGCAGATTACTTGGTCATTGATCGTGTTCGTTCTCGCCGCTGCTACCGTTGCTGTTAACTGAGTACCTTTGATCGGTCAGCAGCAAAACCATCAGCTGCTGGTAGCACTATACTGTTTGTACAGTTGCTGCGAGCTACACATCAGATGGGTTGAGGGTTAGTCGCTTAGGGAAAGCTGGCTTGAGGGTGAGCTCAAAAGCTGAACTAAAGCATGAACGATTAAAGTACCGCTTCAGCTTGTCGGTATGCTGCTCTTATGGTCACTAAGACTTCAACGACCGAATGGGAGGCAATAAAAGCCTGCTATTTAACTTATAGACAGCCGGCTGCCAACTTCTGGAGACCGGGCAATCCGAATAGCTGCACATTTTGCCTCGTACGGCTAGCAATCGGCGACTATAAGAACTTGCCGACCGGAGGAAAGGCACTCTTTTGTCTACAGGCCGGTTTCAAAATTTGAAGTTTAGACTGTGCATCGAGTTGCAACGAATCATATGCTCGCGAATAGCTCATTATCGAGTTTCGTTACGGGCGTTGGGGAGCTTGACAAGAAATGGATAGTGAATACAATATGGAGGTGGAAGACATGCTGGCAAACGTCATGTGGGGCGCCCATTGCTTTGTGCCCAGTACGGAACGGATGTTTCTTCTTACAGTGACTACAAGCCACGAGAGTAAGCTCTGCGGCAACGGATCCGGTGCAACGGGGAATATGGCTGACTCCAACAACTCGAACCTTGTATCTAACGCGCCAGAGGATTCGCTTGTTGTGAATGCCAGCAGCTCTCGACAGTTTGCTGTTCTTCAGCAGTACCGTGACTCTTTGGAGGCACGAAGTACGCCTCGACTAGAAAAGAAACTCCCGTACTTAGCTAACCCGCAGCCAGGGACATCTGCTGAAATACAGCTTCATCAGTTCGATTCGCATAGTTCTACCGTGATGAATAGTTCGCAACAGGTCCGTCACACAAGCCTAAATCAGCTGGAGCAACGGCGCAGTCTTCTTACACCGATCATTCCGCCTGGTGAGTGCGAATTCGTCAGTGACGAAAGTCCAATAGTTCCTACTGGACTACTACGAAAAACAACATCTGAGATTTATTTATGAATAGGAATAGTACAAATATACGGGATATTTCTATTCGATTCTTTCCCGGATGAGTGTAGCTATCTGCCTCTAGATAGTATGTAGACCACAAACTGCCTGGCGTCACCACAAAAATATTGCAAGAAGAGAAGCCGGTGTAGGCTCACCGTCTGGTGCCTAGATAAGGGCCAATGGCGTTTCAAAAGCATGCTGTCCACACGTATCTTTTTCACCTACCTTATGATACCTGAACAGAAAAGAAGAAATGGAGGAAAAAGGCATTAAAATCGAATTCAAAACCTCCAAGGTATATATCAGAGAATTAAGGAAATAGAAGTGATCATTGTAACTTTTCTTAAAAGTAAAATTTCTTAATTAGAAATAGTTACATTTGAATTTCCAAATATAGCAGCAACTCGTTGGAAAACCGGCCCAAGCTCACATGCCTGTCAAATTGACAGCCTTAAGCTCTTTTAAAGCATTCATTAAAGAGCGAACTGGAAAATTTGCAGGCCCCAAGTTCCAAATCCGTGTTATTCCAAGTATCCTCATAACGTTGTAACTTTAGAACCTAGATGAGTATTGTCGCAAATTAAAAAATCCAAAATAGTTCATGAAATTGACCATTATTACCATGCGGTGCAATATTACAGAAGATGACTTCGAGTATTTAGACATGCAGGATCGCCGCTCGAACTCCTTACAAATCACGCGCGACCGTTCACCAATTGCTTTTCCGGGAGAACCGTCATCGTTACCGTTCCATTCGGCTGCTGAGGCGGACTCGCACGTGATCAAAAAAAAGAAAAAACGAAGAGCACCAGCTCCTCCTCCCCCAGAACCGGGAATTAGACCTTCCACTGGCGCCGGTTCTGGATTACAGGTTGGTTATCGTGGCAGTGCAGGAGCGACAGGAAGCCTCGGTGCGAGAAGTTCATCGAGTGAATGCAGCAGTGCTCAGCGAAGGTGCGACTTTTCATAGATTTGATTTTAGCTATATTTGGATGACAAATGTTTCGTAGTAGATCGATCAGCCGTTATTTTCTTTTTTGGATACACCTCTGACGTGAAATTATTGTCGCTCAAGAGTTTTCTTTATTGTGGTAGCTGTCAAATGTGGTCATTATCTCTAAAGCTTATCATTCAAGCTTGCCCACTTGGGGTTTCGGGGTCACTTTTTGCTGATGATCAAAGTTACGTGGATGACGTGGTACTCTTGAACCTATGATAGGGTTTGCATTGTTTGTGCTTACTTACGTGAAGTTTATGAAAAATTACGCGTTGCTCGTGCTAGCCAATTCGACGTTTACGTTAACGGATATTTTAACTCATTCATCCATGCAGTGTGCATGCACGCTACCGTATTCAACTAATTTGCTTTATGTGACCTCAGTTTCCTTCTACTAAATAACTGGAAAATGCTAGCTGTTCACTACAGAATTATGCGCTACAAGAACTAAACATGTTACACTACTCCATTGTGAATACGCCAGAATAAAGAAGAGAGCTCCCTCTCCCCCGCGATGCCAGAGGGAGTCGACGTCTTTACCGACATTGACGTTAGATCAGGTTGCTTCTGCTGTAGCCATCATCCCTCCATCCTCCCTGGGAAGTTTGTCTGATTCTGGCGCAAGCGCTGCAACAGCAGCTCCAGACTCCCCGCGCCTCAATGACCTCTCACGAATAGATGAAGATACCGAATCCGACTTCGAGTACGTGCTTAAGCGCAGTGATTCCAAGGTTAGATTTTGAGTTTCTGATCTGTTTGCTTAAAGTGCTTTCTTGTATTACGCTAGGCATCAACCGGCTTTTCTTTGCTAACCCACACTAGTCGTTGTAAATCACCCAGGTATACGTAGCGTTTTTATAAAATATATATATATATCAAGCGGTGGCTTGGATGGCTAAACCTCTAGCTGAAAAAGCTGCTTCAAAATCCCGTTATTACACATAATACACTACAAGCATGACTAAATATGTAAATGTAAACATAAATATACGAAATTATTGATGTAACGCTCAAAATGCTACCTTACTGAAGGCAGCACGTTCAAACGGATGTTGTCGTAAGGGCACTTTCAATCCTTTTAGAATGTGTGATCCAAGTCAAGGTCAAGATGACCTTATTCTTAAGACAGCTCAGAATCAACTAAGGATGCCGTTCTGCAAGCTGCATCTTAGTAGACTTATCTATTGATGGAACTGAGAAGCTTCGTTTTCGGCCGCAATCACCAGAAGCGATATCCCTCATCATAGCTTGTAAAAAAATTATTCGTATTCTAAATTATGTTGTTGGAAAGGTAGATCTTTGTTTTACTTCTCAATGAAATGACTTACACTAGCAATAAATGAAACGTGTTGACATTTTGCCGTGCCTGCAAAAATAGGTGAACGAACTTGTCGATGCGTTCCATCGTTTAACGGAGGATAGCGGCGATTTGAGCCCCGAGGTGAAAAGCGACGACGGGACATTGACTCCCCTGATTTTTAGGGGAGGTGAGAAGAGCGCCTATGGCAGTGGTGGGCTTTCCGACGCGTCGTTCTCTTCGTCAACATCGACTAAGTGGCGCTATGTCGATGTTTCGGACTCAATGAGCGTTGACTCCAACACGTCCGAGGTCCTGCTTGGAGCTGGCAGAGGAATTCGGCGGGATTCCGGTAAGCCATTTATTCGTAGATACAAGTAGAATCATCAAGCTTATCTTTTCTATTATCCTGAATGGAACCAGATAGTGACGTCAAATACGATTTCCTTAGGCGAAAATTCGCTGCTTAGCTTCTATCTGCTAAATCAATCTCTTTTATCCTGTTTTATTCCTAGCTTATTGAGCTATTGCTAAGCATAGCAACCGGTGGCCTCTCACATATTCCGTAAGCAATCTCGGTTTGAATTTGTCTTAGGCGGATAATCCTATAGGCAAGGTACATGTTCGATTGCAGCATCTGAAAGTGAACTAAAGAAAGCGAACCGGAGACAGAGAACGCTCGCGCCTAAGTTTATGCCATAAAGATACACAGCAACATTATTGTTTAGATTCGCCCTCTTGATCTCTGTGTTCTAAGACCTTTTGCCTATTGGGTTACATATGAGGTGACCACTAGTGTGGCCTATCACACTGCTGCTATGACGATTGGTACATATCCGCTAGTTGTAAAGGTTTAGTCCAAGTAACAGCTGTCTGGTTGTCAAACAGGGCGTCAACGCAAACGGGCAGGCAGATTACAAACACAGACACACATATACACACAAACATGCACACAGAGACACACACACACACACACACACAAACATGCACACACACACGCACACGCAAACGCATACGCATACGCAGACACACACACATGCACAGAGATATGCAGACCACTTCTCATTTTCTGTGAGGTCAGTAGGAGTCTTTTACTGGCGCTTGCTTCCGACTGTGTGTCAGCGAATGGATATCTAATATTCGTAGAAGCAATCGCCTTTATTACTGGTAGCTGTTGTTCCTGTTATTGCGTTTTGTGGCGCTTCCTAAGTGGAGGTTTGTCTTCTTTTGCGTTTCCATTGGCGGACTGATTCACCATTGGGCCTACCGTTGCTGCCACAACTGCTTATTCTACTATAATTGCAACGATGACTATAACGACCACTGGCCGGGTGTTGTGTCTCCGTGCTATCGCTGTGACTGATTTTGCTGCGTTCTTGTGCGTCACTCGGCGTCGTTGGTCCTGCCTGGGGCACTGGATGGGTTCTGCTTGTCTCGGCCCATCGCTACTTCCCATCGGTTTTGTCGATTCTCGCTATTTTTATCGTCACATCAAACCTGAACGATTGCCATTTCGAAATGGCTATCACAAAACTACATAACTGGTTGGCCTCTCGACAGTGTCAGAGTATCGGCTTGAGTTTGAGAGGCGGAGAGCGTTCTACGAACCCAAAAATAGAGCTGGGTCCGTAGGTCGAAACAGTGCAGGTGGAAGCACGGGTTCTGGGCCCCGTTCTAACCGGCACAGTCGTTCGTTCGAGGAGCCGACGCTGAATGGTCCGACGGCATCGACAGCAAACGCGTCGTCTGGCTCGTATGGAGTTGCGTCAGGTGCCACTATGAGCTTCAGAGATATTCTCAAGTCCCAAAGCAATACGTCCATCGCGAGCAAAGGTGAGTTTGTCGGATGGAAACTATATTCAATGCAATAGGTAACCGGTGAATGGTAATCGCTGCTTCGCTACTATTACACTGAGATGATAACATGCTTGAGCGGACCCGCAACCCTTCAAGATAAGAATGCTGCCAAAGTTCATTGATTCTATGTGCGTTTAGTTTCATTGTTACAAGCGTTGTAGTAAAACGTATTTACGATTGATTCATTTCGAACTAGCTATAAGATCTGTATTCTTCTTTCGTCGAGATACGAGAAAAATCTGCTACGAGAGACTACTGAAAATAAACGAATTTGTAAATATCATCGATAGGCAGCTCTGATCTAGTGGCTAGTAACAATTGCACCTACTGGCCTAATATAAATATTTGTTTGCAACAGGATCGACTGGCTCAGATAAGCGGCCACCCATTCATCCTGATTCGCCGACAGGAGGCAGGCAATTGCTTTACAAACAGTTAGAATCAGCCATCTCCAAAGGAGAACATGATAGAGCCGCAAGTCTTGCCAGGCAGCTAGCTCTCAACAAGAAAAAACTTCCTACAATAACGTATGTCAATGTCGGACCCTCGGTTAACTGCATGGCTTTTTTGATCAGGGGTTCATAGGTAACAGCTGCAAAATTCTACTCGCTTAAGTGAAACTCTGTTTTCTAGGGTCAACTTATACGTTGAGGACAAGGTATCTCACATTGGCCCGATTCGGCTAAATTTAAATCCCGCAATTAAACTCTGTCAACTGAAGCAAAAAATCCAAGCTGATTATCGCTTCCCAGAAGACCGACAGCGCTGGGTAATTGGAAAGGGGCTTGCCGTTGATAATGACCGCACTCTCAACGAGCTCGGAGTCGATAAAAATGATGCGAATCTCTTTCTGTACCTTGGCAGCTCTTCGAAATATTCTGGCGGACGCTATCCCGGAACGCCGAAATCATTGCCAAAGTAATTGTCACACATTTTTGTTCGGTTGAACTTTAGAAAAGTATGTATTTATGAAGTTCCCTCTTTGTCGAAAGTAGATCAACTGATACCTGACGAAGTATAATTTTTATCACTGTAAAAGTTAATATGTGGTTCCTTCTACGCACTGTTATCATTATAGGAAGTTTCTTGAAAGTTTTCCTAGCAGCATTCGACATATTCTTCCCGAAAACAAAGCTCGTCCAGCAACACCACCGTTACAGCGTGCCGAATCAGTGGATTCTGACGAAATGTGGCATACAACAGCCGATCTTCAAAGTTCATCGCTTGCTTCTTCTACGGCTAGAGTTCGTAAACGCCGCCAGGTGATTAAGCTACAAACTGATCAAGGTGTGGATAAGCTCAACAAGCTCCTCAAAAGCCAGGACACACTAAAGGGTATGATTGGAATAGTAAAACAAATTGTCTTTGAATGTCAGCTCGGTAAACAAAATCACTAACGAAGTAACTTCTTTCGGTTTTTTATAGGCTGGAAATGCGACCTCTGTGGGATGCTTAACAGACGAGCAGGCCTTGAGTGTGTGATGTGCGGATCATTGAACAGCGTAACGGGAAATGAGGCGGATGACGAGTTATTTGAAGGAAGCTTAGACGACATTGTAAACTTGGACCGCCTAAGCATAAACAAAGTGACGGGCGATAAGATCTCGCTTGATTTGTCTCAAACGCGAGATCGGCTTGGCGCCCAACAACAGGGTCCCGAGGCTAGCTGTTCGAAACCTCCTATTTCCCCTAAATCACGGTCCGTCAGCGGAAGTCCGCCGCTAAGCCCTACGTTTGCCAAGTCGCTTCAACCTGCAAGCGTGCCAGTTAGCGTCTCAGACAATAGGTCATTGTCCCCCATGCAACGAAGCCCGTCAGCAAAAAGCCAGATCCCTAGGCCTATATTTGTGTGTGAGAACAGCCCTAGTCCGCCAAAACCAATTCATTCTAAAACTCCACCGTTAGCCGAAGCTATTTGGCATATCAATCCCTCTTTTGAAGGCAATGCTGTTACTAATTTAACGGCGGACCTAGCCGTCGAAGAGGACTTTGATATATCAAGCGAGAGCGGAAGTGATACGACATCCGTTAATAGTCTTGAGGTGAACGAAAAAATGTTCGAATTGTCTGATGGTGATGAAGTCGGCCATATCACAGATGAGTTAGGCTTAAATGATCCTAATGCGCCTTCTACAAGCAAGGACCGACCTGGGTCGGTTATCTATAGGCAAAATGGCGAAGGTCAGGCTAATGGCTTTGTAGAAACACGAGGCGAGAGACCTACCACGGCAATATTTCGTCCTGCGGAAGTCAGCAGCGCATTTAAGGCTGAAGGTGCTATTAAAGCAATGGAAATGAAACATGTCGTCGAGGAACCGGCTCGATGCATATCCGAGACGACACTGGCTGTGCAGCCTCAACGAGCAGTTTTGCATATGGAGACTGGCGCCAGGCCGAAGCAAGCGAACATAGTTAAACTGAAAACAACTAACCCTCCAGCAGTTCCATTCAAACCGCTTGTCACAATTCAACCTTGGGTTTCGCGATGTGAGACTAAGAAGCGAGAACAGGGTGATCGAGAAATATTTAACGTAGAGGTGGCCGCGACAAGAAACCTGTTCGAAGAAGCTAAGCACACGGCTGACATCGTGGAACGGCCTCTCAAGGCTGCGGAGGTTAAGGCTGACCTCAATGAAGCTCTGGAAACTCTGCGTTCACTGGCGGAAAGTCCGAAGGACTACCTAAAGTTAATGCAGCTGGACGAGCACGACATTGTTGCGAATAGCGACCGCTTCGAGTGCCCGGTATGCCTGATGCCTGTGGAGCCGGCGGAAGGCGTCGTGTTACGAGATTGCTTACATAGTTTCTGCAAAGACTGCCTCGTAAACGCTGTGAGCTTCTCGACGGATGCTACGGTGAACTGCCCATTCATGAACGACGACTATTCCTGCGAAAGTCTATTGCAAGAGAGAGAAATCAAAGCAGTAAGTAACTGCGATGCTAGATAAACGCTCCGGTTCGTAGTGTTCCCTTTAATATCATTTTCAGTTGTGATATAAAGTATTTCAAATATAGAATTCGAATGAAGCGCATATTTTGTAAGGACTGAATGTGTTTGTTTCCATCTCAAAGCTGGTGTCTGAGGACGTATACGAAAAACACTTGAAACGCAGTATGAAACAAGCCGAAACAGCTGCTAAAAATTCGTTTCATTGCAAAACGCCAGATTGCCCGGGATGGTGCTTCTTCGAAGATAATGTAAGTTTTAGATTTCACCTCATAGTTTCGTGTACAAGTACCATTACTTTTAGCGATATGAGTCGTGTGTTAGTAACTAGAATTCTTAAGAGCTAAATATTGATTACGATTACAGGTCAACAATTTTGACTGCCCCGTTTGCACAAAGCGGAACTGTCTCACCTGTCAGGCAATTCACCATCCTTTGAACTGCCTTCAGTATCAGGATCACCTTGAGCTGGACGCTGAGCTTACCGAGGACGCAAAAAAGACTAAAGCGTTTCTCGAGGTAAATATAATTTTCTATTAAGTTTACAATTATGTATAAAATTACAATATCACTTTACTCAAGATTTAGAAAACTTACTTGTTGTGCCTTATGTTCCCACTATTTGGATACTCTAGTATTATGTAATCCTAGCAAACGGTGAATATCTTTCTTTACTATGACCACCTTTCAATGTACGTCTCAGCAGTCTGGTATTGTAACGTGGGAATCACAAACGGGCGAGAAAAATCGATACAATCCGAACAAACATGCACAGCACACCGTAAACGTAAATGTAAGTTTTATGAAGTTACCTAAATCACACAGACTACGAGGCAATTAACGCAAATAATATAATGATTTTAGGATATGGTTCGCTGCAATGACGCTATGCATTGCCCCCAATGTAGGATTATCTTGATTCGCAAATGGGGCTGCGACTGGGTCCAATGTTCGATGTGTAAGACAGAGATCTGTTGGGTAACAAAAGGACCTCGTTGGGGGCCTCTGGTAAGCTTTTGTTTGCATGCATTCGCTTCTGAATTCGTCGTTGGCATCCACTATTATTTAAAAACAACTTACACCTATTAGATCTTACCTTAATTGTAAAGGTTGTACCGCAATTTGTGAATGGTTGAATAGTTCTTGTTAATAGCGCAGGTAGAAATCTTACAGTGCAAGAGGCTACATACTGAAATAGAAGGTTTTAGGAAGTATCTAGTGGCTTTACAAGGTAGAAGGCGACGCACTGGGCGGAAACGTCGAACGCGGCAAATTGTAGGCTATAATAAAGCGGGTTTCGATTAGTGTACCTAACATTTAACAACAGACAGCCACCTGTTATGGGGCTAACGAATGTTTTTCCAATCGCTTTTTCAGACCCTAAATTCAGTGGGTCACGTCTCTAAAATGCAACATCTTCATTTGATTTCTACATGTTGTTTCATTCCTTTATCTCTCCTCGATTACAGGGTCGTGGAGATACTTCAGGCGGATGCAGGTGCGGGATAAAAGGAATCAAGTGCCACCCGAAATGCACCTATTGCCACTGAGAACGGTTTACAAAGCCTCCATCTGTTGCGCGACAAAATCTCTAACCTTCAACACAAACAATTGCAACGTTGACGCCTAGCGGATAGAGTACCCCGTGCGCACGGCTACAAGAAGCCAGTTGAGAAGGATCTGTATAAAAATGGCAAGATGCAATTTGCTGCGTCCGATGTTTCCGCCCAGTGCGTTGCCTTTTACCTTGTAAAGTCATTAGATACCAGATGCAATGTTTTTAAGAATTATAATATTAAAATTATAATAAATTATTTAAATAATTCTATTATATATTGATTTCATATTCATTTTTAGTATGTGTAGGGGCATAGGTTCGAAATTGGATGCAGCATGAAAGGCATCTTGGTAAATGATAGACAAATCTAACGCCCGAACTAAATGTAGTTTGATTGTAAAATTTTCAATTGTATGTGTCAGGCTAATCGAACTCGAAAAACGCAAACGTTTATTATATATATGTATATTTTGGTGTTTTTGTTATTGGTGAAGAGGGGATCACGGTAAGCGTTACCGGAAAACATCAGTTACTGTCGCTTACTTTCGGCTCCTTAAGCCTATTATGTTTTTATTCTAAGAGTCGTGAGCAAAATTAACAGGTTAAGAATATTATTTATTTTTTATTTCATACTTAGCTGTAGGTATGTAGAGGTACATAGCTATACAGCTTTTTCCAATAAATAACAAAATTCCGTAAGATTCAGAACAGTGTCTAACGTTGCATAAACTAAGACCTAGATAGTGTAAAACTTAGTATTACTATCTACAACTTACTTTAGTTAGCTGGCTTTTTCTACGTTTCCTACGTTGGCTACGTTTTCTAGAACCATGCTGTCTTTCAATGTCGCACGATGTTCAAAAATCTAACGCCTGTTGATATCAAATTATCAATTAATAAAATATACCTCAATCATGTGTCAACTTTGATTAAAATATCAGTAGCTTTGTGCCTGTGCGATGATAGTTCGTTCGGGTCTCGTGACTGTTGCCGTTTTAAGTCCCAAATGCGGCTAAGGTTTGCATATTAGCGGACCGGCAATTATATTGAAATGCCCACATTCGCATAAAGCTGTTCACAGATCGTTTTTGTAGGGTCGTCTGCTTTACTGTGATCGGTAGTCAAAATATATTCTACGTTACCGGTACCACATCATTAAACTTTCTTCAATTTAAAATATTCTGTGCTTTCGTTATTAAAAGTAATTAACCTGTTCATGTACAGTATTCAGCTTTTATTGTTGTGTTTACAAAATAGTTGAAAACATAACGTACACGTTAGATAGGCGACATATGACCTTAACTTGAAATGACCGTGTTACAAGGCCCAGCTTTTTCATAGGCAACGAACAGTCGCGAAATTAATCTCTCGTGGACGGATGTGCTAATTAGAATACAGTTACAGTTTATGAGGAATTACCTTATTAGTTATTGCTTTGTGTATATATCTACTATTGCGACATGTGGGAACTCTGTCATGAATTGCTGTTTACCAGCTTGGAAGCACGTGATGCAGTAATAAGGTTAGACCGTCGTCGACATCTACGATCGTGTGCCCTTATTTTCGGAGGCACCCCTAAAGCTAAGGCTGGGCTGGGCTGGGCTGCTGCAGCGTCTGACGTGACCCAGATTGCTTAAGGTTTAGCTCGTGAATTACCACAAAACTCACCGCAAGATGAAGCCTAAACCACCTGTTCTTCAAATAGCCTTACGTCTAAACCAATATAATAGTTAGTAATCTTAAAGGATAATCTCTGACAATACATTGTTGCGTATTTGGACTACATTAACGGGCAGAGAGGAAAATCGAGCACTTCTCATTTTGCGCAGTAATAATTATATGTGTATACGACCTCGTTATAGTTTGATACATGTATATTTTACATATTGATATTTGTATGATAATCATATTTATCGATCATGAAAAGGTTGCGATCTGTTTACTTTTGTGCTGTGACAAAAATCTCGTTTCGAGTGGGTCAGTTCCTACGATAGGGCGAGCCTATTCGAATCAGAAAACAATATACACCTGTGGATTATCTCATTTAGCTTGCCTCTATCGAAGTATATATATATATATAAACTTATGTCCTATTTACCGCGACTGAATGTCCTCTAATCTGTCGGCTAAGAGTAAGAAGGATCTCAGCAGGACATCATTAATCCGAAGCAAGTCTGGCAATTGCCAGTTGGATTTCACAGAATTCACGTTAGCTTGGACCGTTAGGACATGTACAATATGTAGTAGGTCAAAATGTAACTGAAGTGAGAAATAGTAATGGATAACAACTAATGATAACTAGTATGTAGTAGATTTTATCGTTGCCACCATTAGAGTGCTTATCTTTCTCTAGCCTATCACTGCTTTATTCATTATGTGTTTTCATATAGAACAGTTCCCTATCATAAGTATAGTAAAATAAGCACTGTATAGGCGACTATACTTTTCTTACATTTGTATTTTGTACAGATAGATAAGGTGGCACATTTCTGTTTAACGCGGATCATAGATCGGAGAATCGTTTACTGGAAGATCAGACAGCCAAAATCAGTCGAATCTGGTTAACATGGTTGCAGTCGCCTTTTTATGGGCTTGCGACATGATTCCTCTTGAGATGACGAACTCCCATCTACTACTTTCCCTCCTATTTTTATCCCTCTCGCTCTGTACGTGACCCGTTTTTCGCGCCATTGCATTTTGTTGCGTCGGCCCTGGGACAGCACAACAGAGTTGAATAAGGCATTGTGATGTGACTCGTGGCGCTGGCGACAAACTTGACATCACCGACGCCACGAGGACCGTATTTTGCAATATATAATTGTGATTATTATTACTATCGTCGTTTTACTGTGTTATACGCTGCCTCTTTACGTTCACCCATAGGGATATGCACAGGAACGTGCACCGCTGTACACAGCGTTTAGGTAATAAGATACGTAGTAGGTCCTAAGGTCAATATGGCAACATTATGCGGTGACTCTTCATTTCCATCTTCTTTATGTTTTCTTTTCATCTGTACCGTATGGATATTCATTCTGCCTTTTTTTTTGTTTTATGAGCTGATCCTTTTTTCCCAAGTCGTCCCTTTTCTTCGTCGTCTACTTATTCGCCTCTAGTTTTTACCGAGTCAATTTACGTATACAAAGGTCCTGCATCTTCGTTTTTCCTATTTCACCGGCGTTGTGTACGCGATTAAAGTAGTGCTCACATACTTAATTATGTGCTTAACAATTATTTAAGCACAGCCTTTTTATATGCTTTTGTATTGTTTTTATAATAATAATAGAAAAACTTCACTCACCTATGGGTCGATGGATTATGTCGTCCACAGACGATACGATACCCATTGTACGAGTAGAAGGCTGTACGCATGCGTAAAGTAAAATCAAAATATCATTATCATCATAGTATACGGTGTGTTTAAGTTAGGGAACTTTTTCGAATTGTTTTGTTATAATGTTATTTGTTGCTTTTTGTACAGGATAAAAGCCAGTTATTTTTAGGTTAAGGTGACAAACTTGTCACAGTGAACAGCGGTCGATTTCAAAATCTGAACGAAAACCAGCTGTTACACACTCCTCTTAAAGCGATACAAATACTCACCAGATCTTTATTTTTCTTCAAAAATTATGATTTACCTTATCATCAGTTTATGAGACCTCAGGAGAATCTGGGAGCAATCTTTTTGAGGCGAACCGAAAGATCCTCAATAGAATTTAGATTCAAGGAGAAAATTTAATAAAATTATTTAAAAAAGATTTCGATATACCTAGGTTTCTGATAGAGAAACTAAAGACCATCTTAGAAAGGACTACATTAAATGTCGAGTGTATTTTTTGAGTTTGCGCACTTTTGGCCCTTTTGAGCCCTTTGTTACTGCAAAATTTAATTTCGTTGTATTTTTTATGTAGCGCCTTTCGATAATACACCAGCCAATCTCGCTCGACGGATAGTTATTATGAGCACATTGTATATTCGAAGAAAAAAGGAATATTATATAGATGGCTATTTAACTGTTTGGGTCTTGGACGAAATTACTGCCGGTTATATTAAATACACACTATTGTCAGAAATTAAACTATGCGACGCATACAAGATATTTCGTTAAAATATCTCCGTGTGTTTCGATACAACTTTATAAACAGGGTCGAAGAAACAATTTAGACGTGCCATTTTGTGTGTGCATCTGTATATAGCATTTCAAACGGTCGTAGTTGATCTCACCGGTATTCCCGAAAGCCATTAACTTCTAATAGTTACTATAATGTGTTCTGTTGAAATGATTCGGTTCTGTAAACAAGCTTGTGACTGTTGACGGTCATGCTCACGTATGTATGTAAATACGTGTGTGTATCTAAATCATATATATATTGTATACGGGGATCATCCACACATTTTGCAGCGTTTCACGCCAGTATTTTAGCACTGGATTACCCTTGATATAGATGAAGTCCTGTGTTCTCTCCAACTTCGCCTACACGTATCTTTTTCTTCACACTTACATAGCAGCATACGATCACATTTGACATTTGTTATCATCAGAGCCATTATTAAGCTGCTGTGGCAAGCGTTCAGTTGCCGCGGGCTGGGGAAACATTTTCGGATGCGAGTTCAGCCATTTTGATCGACCGCAGGGTTTGGTGGCGGAAGGGGCGGCCCCTGATTGAGGCCGCCGCCGCCACCGCCACCAGCTCCACTTACTGGAAGTGGTATCGACTTGAGTTCACGAATCTGTTTGATGACATACGCCTTTTCATCGTTAAACTGCTCGGCTAAATTGGAGTCAACTTCATTCGCTAATTGGAACTTTGATAGGAACTCGACGAGCTTCTCGCGGTTGCGCAAAAGTATATCGAGGATTGGCTTCGGCTTGTGGGGATTAGCCACGAAGATCTGTGATGGCAAAACGTAAGTAATAAACGGGCTGTGAGCATTTTGGATGTATCGTGGCACAGATTAAGAACGAGTGCACAGGCAAACGATTAGATATGGAAACTTTAAATGTTAGCGCGTTTTTTTTATACGCGTATATATATATATATATATATATTATGTCTATATATATATATATATAATTATGTACAACTATGCTACTTTTATCGATATATTTTCTTACCTTGAACACATGGAAAGCCTCAAGTCGAATGTTTCGGGATTTATCTTTCAGCATGTTCATAGTAAGTTTCAGATTCTCTGAATTTGAGATATATCTAAAAAAACACCAACGACAGAATTGCACACATATATATTCAGTAACTGCTGTCGTTAACTCATTTTACGGTTGAGAGTTTTTTTGCCATGTATTACAGTTGTAATGTCAAGTCCTTATAGAACTGGATATTATTAACCTCGTCATTACGTTAAAGTTGTGCCGGTCAAGTAGAAGTTCACCCAGTAACTTAAGAGCCAAACGCCGCGTCACAAAATTCTCGCTATTCAATAGCGCTCGGTAGTGTGTGAAAACCTGAAACGGTAATTTTCTGTTTTGTGTTATTGTTGACTGGCATACGTATGAACTCATCAAAAATAATACGAGCAGAAACCGCAACGAAAAAGATACAAAAGGATTCCTGGTGTTTTTGCATCAGTTGCCATCAGTACGACATTTGTCGGGTAGCATTACTGTCAACTGAAGCCACACCTCCGTACGTATACATAAAAAGGATACAGTCAAATACACTAACCCTATCATAATTGGCCTCTAGGAACTCTGCTACAGTAGATTTGTGTCTCGTTAGAAGTTCTTTAAACGACGCAAACGCATCCGCGGCGATATCGGCGGACGAAGCTTCGACGTACTTGAACAAGTTGTAGAGGTCATCCGAGTAAAGCACAATCTGTAAAATAAAATAACATCTCTGGTGTGATAACACGAAAATAATCTCACGGCTGAAATAGTATTTACAATATTCAACGCAAAATTGGGCAATGGAAAAAATCAATCGCTAATAATTTGCGAGAAACTAATCTTGTAGGCAAGTTCACGATACCTTTCTAAGCACCATTCATACAGTTGCACCCAGTTTGGGGCATAGACGACTTCACATATATGGAACTAACTATTCCGAAGAACTAAACTACGGACCTTGGCGAGGCTCTCATGCCTTGTACACTCCCTGAACGTCTGTCCACAGCTAAGTGCGATGTCCGGCCTTTCGTAGCCACTCAGCAACAGAAACAGTATTGCCGGCTTGAGGTAAATATGCTCGACAGTCGGATATCTCTCGCCCGATCGATGGCGGAGAATCTGGGTAAATATGTACACGACATCCTTGCGTCCCTCGAAGTCAATTTTCGATAGATTCTGAACGAGTAGTAATAGCAGATGCGAGCTATACACTTCCTGAGCTAATTTCGACATCTGCACATATAACGAATTGGAAGAAAACTATTATTAAAATCATTTAGGACGGATAGAACCAATTGAATATGTTTATTTTCCCACTAAAATTTGAATGCTAGAATAAATCTCGCTAATTTTGCGTCCCATGCTGCTGTTAAACGTTTTTTCAGACGGCTGATATTCAACAAACGGTTAAGTGTTTATAAACCTGATTTCGAACCTGGATTACGACTTATTCCTAAGCTCAGGGGAAAATTAATTGACCATGCTCTACGCGGAAATACACCATCCCTAGTGAGCTTGAAGTTGATCGAAGAGAGAAAAATTTGCGACGCTTATTTCCACACTGTCCATATTTGCTGATTGCGGTTATTTTTTTACAGAATTTCCATACAAATGAACAATTACACGTATTCACCTATCTAACGTCAAAAATTAATCCGTTTTGCAAAGGTTCTCAAGCACTCGACGCAGCGATAATATAAAGTGAGCACAAGTAGTAAAAGCCATTACAAGTATTTAACAGGATTTAATCTGTGAGTGCAGATATTGCTATTCGATATATCTGTCAGCTGTCTAACTATTATAGCTGTCTAACTAGCATATTAACTAACATCTTTAGCTTAAATTTTAAGTCCTTCTAACGAGATCGTACTGTATGTTTTCATATTTCTCAGTCTCAACTAATGGGCGCCGCACAAACAGTCGTAGCGGTATACCTAAGCTAAACTCGGTAGCATGTGGTACAGACCCCATCAGTCATATTTCGCACCCCTTTATTGGTTGCTTTACATGCTCGGCACCACCACAATGCTGCGCAGCTCTCTCTCTCTCTCTCTCTCCAAAAGCACGGAATGGTTTCTTTTTTTCGTTAATCGTAAGTATGACTTTTTTAGGGGTAAATTTTTCATAATGAAGCTAAGCCTACCTGTGGAAATATCTGAAAATGCTTCTAGTTGTTTTCAGAGTTCCCAAACCAAACCCCCTTACGTATCTATAAGAATACTAGGACTGAGTACCTAACTCAATTCGACCTGTTCTGACAGCTTAAGTCTATTCTGTATTACGTTTTTTTCTGTTTGATATGCTGAAAAGTAGATTGTGGCGCTGAACTTTTCTAACAAAAGAATTCGATCAGATGGCTGTAAGTTCGAGACTAAAACGAGCGATTATAATTAATGATTATGTTAATGAAATTGTAATTAAAGATATAATGAAGCCTTGATTCCATTCGAAGCTGTATTAAAACAAGTACTGCCAAAGCAAGCTGATAATTTAGCGAGTTATACCGCAGCAGTTAGTTGCAAATACCGGTTTAAGTTCCGCACTACAGCGCCAAGTAGCTATATGTGACGCGCGGTGACTGTTATCGAGATTTACAAATCAGCATCTTGAAAAACTTCGTTCGATATGCTTTGACTAGCTACGGTTTCCTCGTTTAGCAATTTTTACTCAACACGATCAACTTCTATACACCCTAAACGCCTCGTGATTTTTTTTTGCCCTTTTAATGCAGCTAAGTATGAGGGATTCATAGCAACTACGAGGCAGAGTCTACGCACCTCATGGCTGCCATAACAATAACCGAAAAGTCCCACGAGCAGAAAGCTGTGAAGCACTTTTGACTGGCCTATTCAAGGAAAAATTTATCTAATGCATTTCAACAAATGAATTTTGCTTTTGACGGTTGTTCCTTTACATGCTCCTTTCCGTAGGAAAATCGTAAGTGAAGAAACCGCGAGTCGAGGCCCCTAACTTAAAGACTTTCGTAGTAGCCGCGGCTCTTATAAAAAGCAAAGAAGGAGGAATACCCGAAATCGAATGGGTATTTAAATTACCCTAGAACAACGATGTACTTAGAAGATTCCCGACTTCGTTGAAAGCTAGAAGCATTTTCGTTTTTCGGAAATGGCTTGAACATACTATAAATACCATGTCCTATTTTCTTTGTGCTACCAGGCAAGGTTCGAGCTGTCGGTGCACAAACCTAACTATGTTCAGATTCTGCCCCTGCACAGGAAAATCTGCTTGGTACAGCTAACTAACCTGGGGATCCGGTTGCGCGTCGTTATTGCCCATTTCACCAGCAGTACTATACAGAAATGTCCGCATAAGACAAAGGTTCTTTGAGACATCTTCTTGCGCCTTTAAAGCTTTCATCAGCGTGTTCGGTAGCTGCTCCTGAAACGACCATATCAGCATAACAGAATGTTCGACAACAGTGTATGTTTAAACTGAATACATTATTTATTGATTTAACTTTATGACCTCAACCTTTGTGCTTCCGCAATTTCTATATTTAACTAATAGATCTATGGAGTTTCTATCAACATGACACGACTGGCAGAGTGCTATATTAAACCGAAAAAGTTCGTGCAGGAGAACCGACTAACAGGTTAAAGCCGTTAAAGCTCAGCTCTTCGGCAACTACGAATTTAGTAAAGTGTAGTCCTGATAGCAAGATTTGCACATAAAGGAGGGTTTTTTATGTATGTTTGATATTAACATGTTGAGCTTATTGAACGTTAACTTGCGAACATAGATGGATCACGCACTTTTATTTCATCATTGGTGTTCATCATATCAATGTTAAACTACTCTGACCTGCTCGCAGTAGCGAGGGCAAGCAGGCTATTGTGAATGCCACCACTGCGATCCTTTTTACGCAATTTGCAGAAAAAGAGCCTCCAAGAATCCGAGAAAATTTTCGTCTCGTCAAACCTCCGGAAAATGGGCCAGCAGTAGAACGTCGCAACGCAGTCTAATAAGGACACGTTAACCTGGACAATAGGCTTGAGTTTGAAATGCTGACCGCAAATTTGTCTATACGTAAATCTATACGCGAGCGTCTAAGATCAAAATAATGAATTTTTCAAGTAACCTTTGCCATGCCTCTCGACTCGACACAATGAAAGATAGCTTCTGCATGAGAAATTAGCCCTTCGTTGCTTTGCTAACAGCTTGTCGCTTATATTGTCCAAACATGCATACGTTACTCATTGTCGCTTATCGTGAAATCATACACTGCCCTTCGCATATACGCAGTTACTAAGCATTTGGTAGAAGGATGCAAAAGCAAAGATATTTAATTACAACAGCCTCGATGTCATGTACAGAGTTCAATATATCAATTATGTCCTATGTACAAATTTGATTTAGAAATACTCCGACTTATGTAACGGCAGCGGTACAGAGAACGGTAAAGCACGGCCGTCCTCGCCCAGTCGTGTGCAGCTGACCAAGCCACCCCTGGGCAGTGCCCCAGCTATCGACTGAGTGGTCACCCATCCATAAAGACACCGAACAGCTTCGCTCCGTTTTGTTCTAGCTCGTTTCTTCATTGTCTTTTGCCAAGGCTTTTACAATTTTACTGCTTATATTTCATAGAATTCCCAGTTCTTTTAATACACTTAATAATTATAAAAAAAGGTTAATTAGTTGGCTTATCGACATGTTCGAAATAAGAATAACACCCATTCCAATGGGCTGTTCACTGGCGTGCGGTAGTGAGCAGCGGTCTCCCACTTCCTGGCTTCAACCTGGTTAAATGGCAGTCAATGGGGCAGCGAGTGGGGCCGGATTATGGTGACCGACTAGAAGATGCGTACACAGTTCTCCATAAACACTCAATTCAGCTTGCGTTCACCAAGAGTATTTGAGTAGTATGTACTGGGAGGAGTGGTAGTGGTAGGGGGAGGGTGTTATGGGTATTCAGAGAATTCGGTATCTAGGAGCAGCGGACCGAACGGAATGGGGAAACAGGGGTTGGGCACTGGAGGGCTACAGCATTGATAGTTTTGAGCCTTTTGCTGCTAGGGCAGCGGAAGCTACTGCTGTTTATGTCGCTGCTCTTACATCTCCTGCACTTTGTGCCTTTTTCTACCCCTCTGCACGATCATACCTCTCCTTGGTCCCCTCAGTTGCTCATGCGAATGGGATGTGCACGGCGCCTTTTGATTTTTTTGTCCTCTCTTCTCCACTCCCTTCCTTTGGGGACCATGGAGAACTTAAGCGACACAACGACCCTTCCTCTGAAGCCGTTTGCCGGCTGGTGCTTGTGACCGGCACCGGTATTGTCCATGAGCCACTAACAACGGCGACTACCATCATTGACACTGATGCAACCACGGAAGCCAATCCTACGATCGACCCGCCGTCGTTGCCGCTGCGGCCGCCGCAATCCCTTCTGCCGCTGCTTCTTATGTCATCTTAAATAAACCGTCATTGTTGTCGTTTTTTACAGCTCGGTCACTTACCCACATTGTGGACGTCGGAAGCAAAAATTGTCGGGAATCTCGCACAGACATAAAACGACCTAAGTGTCTGGAGGGGTTTCTTAACAAGTGGCGATGGCGGATGTTGCGGTCGCGCTACTAATACTGATGTAGAATCGGAACGCGAAAGCGCAAAGAAACAACAAAGACAACCACAACGTCGCTTGGATGGACAAGGATGCAAACAACAACGACAATAGCACCAAGCCAGGCTTAAGAAAAGCGCACTGACGTTTAAGAAGTTGACCCGCCGAAAATTTCGCCTGATCAGGCCAGTAAACAAGTGCGCCTCGCAGATTCGGCCAGCTACATTCTGCCTTAGCCAGGCTGGCCTGGAAATCAGCTCCAGACAGTCGAAAAACACTCACGCGTAGGTCTTCTCACTGCAGTTCCTTTTTTCTTGTTACTATTGCTGTTGTTGTTTCACTGTACCAAGGAGAGGGGCGGAAAAGCTACCAAAGTATGGCAAAGAGTTCTGCAAGTGGTGGGGAAAATATAGCCCGGGAATACTCACCGTCTGTTTGTTAAAGTCCAAGAAGGCTCGATTCTTCGAGAAAGGCACACGAAAGCATTCATCCGTGACTGTCACGTACAAAACTGGTGATCATTAACAACAAGCGAAATCTCTAAAAATCTATTACAATTTCTATGCACCTAGATTGTTATTAAAATATGGGGTAGGTAAGCTAGGTTAACGCAAATCGCTGACAGAAATAAATTTTATGATACATTGAAAGAAATTGATTTGAAGAAGGATTTAATAGGTATGATACATCGTAAACGCGAAGCTTGAATTTATAATGCAAAGTCTTTTCTATTCGAAGGGTTTGCAGAATAAACGAAGATACCCTTGATGACAAGTTTACGCTGAAGTTAATGTAACTATAATAGGGATTGTACAATGTATCTAAGATACAAAAAATACCACACCTTATGTAGGTTATTTTGTTAAATAAAATGTACGCTTAACGAGTTTATACGTTTATATATATATATATATATATATATATATATATATATATATATATAAGCGAATTTGGTTTTCTAAAGATATAAAGAATACTCATCATAGGACTTCAACAGCGTAGGCAGGCTCAGCCCTAGAACCGATCATCTCTGGTATAGCCTTGGATCTGTTCTTCGCATTCAATATCCTACCACATAAATAGATAGCAGTAACGTGTTCTGTGTTTGCGTCTGTTCGTTTTCTCCTCGGCCCTGTTTCTCGAGAGTAAGCAAAAGCTTGTTTTATGAGTACGCCTGTTGGTAGCGAAAGTCGTATTGGCAAACACTGCATTTACCACCTACTTCAATGGAATGAATGAACGAAAAACCGTCGTCCATAGGCTGGACATGATGCTGCTTCTGATGCTACTGCTGTCGCCCCCTGGATCGTGGCTGGTTGTTCCCGGTGGCTGTTGCAGCGATACCACAGCGACTGTCAATCGCCCGCCAGCAGCTTTTCGTTTCATCCGCTCTAACCACGGAGCTACAAACGGAGAGGATTCGGCCGCTGCTTCTTATCAGGCAATAGAAGCAGTAGCACTTCCTGTACACGTCGTCCACGCAGCAAAAGAGGACGCGTTCTCTAAGATGTCTCGAATGAATGTAGTAGTGAAGGCCAACTCAGCGAAGCTGTGAGCGACGTAATTAGAACCGGGGCCAGCCTGAGAACGGATAATACGGCTGGGATACGATGCAAGATCGAAACTGGCACCGTCTCTCTCGCTCTCTATATTCATGCCGTCATCAACCTACTCTATAACAACGACAATAAGGGGAAAAATAACCTTGCCAAAGGCAGTCTGTACACCATGTGTTGCGAGAGAGAAAAAGAGAGAACGCGAAAGAAAGTCGGGCACGAGCGCACTCACACAAAAATATTCATGGGAGTAACAGGAGGGAAATGTGAAACGCCGTGATTTACTAAATCTAACATACGTAAGTTCTGCAATTAAACAAATAGCATCGACTGAACGAGAGAAAATTATATAAACCCCGATGTTTAGGAACCCTTTGTATGTGTTTAGGGAGCGTTGAAGTTCCTACCGTTTGAAATGTCCGTCATAGAATAAAGTCGTACATCTGATGTTACGACAGCTTTCTGTTAAACAATAATCTTAGTGACTGGAATACATTTACAAAATACTGGATTAGTTTCTTAGACCTTAGTTGTCCATGGGAGTCGTATAGTAGCATTTAATAGTTGAATTGAAAAAAACGCGTATACGTTAAAGCAAATCGCTGACAGAAATAAATTTTATGATACATTGAAAGAAATTGATTTGAAGAAGGATTTAATAGGTATGATACATCGTAAACGCGAAGCTTGAATTTATAATGCAAAGTCTTTTCTATTCGAAGGATTTGCAGAATAAACGAAGATACCCTTGATGACAAGTTTACGCTGATGTTAATGTAACTATAATAGGGATTGTACAATGTATCTAAGATACAAAAAATACCACACCTTATGTAGTTATTTTGTTAAATAAAATGTACGCTTAACGAGTTTATACGTTTATATATATATATATATATATATATATATATATATATATATATATAAGCAAGGCCCTAACCACAGGCGGTCGATGACGTTCTGCAGTTGAGGACACTTTGAACCCTTATATCTATCTTTGTGGAATAGTCTAAGTAAAAATGGCCGTCACCCATTCAGAGTGCAACAGTATCTCAAGCAATCTTCATCACTTCTTTGTTACTTCGAAAGAACCCAATACGTTTTCGCTAATCTCATTATCTGTAGACAACCGAGTGCATCACTTAGCTGTTGTAGTGAGCATTTTTACATCAAGTAACTTGGGTTACCTTGTTTTGTTTCTGAAAAATTCGATGCACACATCGTCTAGTAAACACCGAAATGGTTACCGTTTTAGTATTTCTATCTGCAACGCCTGCTAGCTAATAATAATACTAAGTCGCTACTCATTTTAATAATGTCACAAAGTATAGCATGTCCACATGACAAACCCTGCCCTCCACGTTTATATTCATCGTCGGCCCAACTTTATTGCTTTAGAATAGTGCCGACGAGATTACACGGTATCGTGTTCTATATGGTAAAGGAAAGAGAAATTCTCAAGATGGAGCGAAGGATTTGTAAAACGACGGCAATGGCATCTGGTATTGGCGTGCTCTCATTTGTGGCTCCCCGGCTCAGTCGAGTGATGGCAAGCTGCAGAATGTGGGGCAGCAAATGAGTTGAAGAAAACTCTACTTGGAACAAGGCTTACTGTACAAATCTGATCTGATTACTTGTTTGCCAGCAGTTCTGGATGCCGCAATTGTAGCTACATTCGGTCACTGCTTCAAGCAGTTGAGACGATGGTTCTCACATAAGGCACTTCTCGAGAAAGGAAAGAAAAAAAATCGAAGGGGAAACACTTTGAAGTCATTTTGCGCTTGATTGCACGGTTACAGGTTCAGAATGACTCAGTGTACGGCATTCCCCAGATTCCTTTTATTCTTCATACACAAATACCCTTTCATCTGTCGGTATTGTCCTCTGTGCGCTTCGGCTTTTTTGTCGTCTTTTTCGCGTCTCCATTCTCTGGCTCTCGCAGGTGCAAAGTGCGACAATCTACCAAATGCTCGTCTATCCGATCTGCTCTCTACACCGACCCTCCAAGCTATTTTTGAGAATTGAAATGAAAACAAAGGAAGACGTTATTATGGACTCATCAACGACGAGCGCAACGGAGTCAGAATTCGAGCAATGCAGGCCATTCAAGTAAGAATAGTTGTAGCCGTAGTTTTCAGGTCGCGTTGCTTAAATATCCGCTACCGCTTCTCTGTTCAGAGGATTCATGCGCTCTGACGCCGATTACGTTAAGGGACTCTTATGGAACTATATATGGGCAATATTATCTGGCTTGCTCGCATTAACATACACCTGACCATGTGTGTGTTGTATATATTTTTAAGTATGTGTCTGTTTCTATGTGTATCGTATCTGAGTCACGCCGCGTCAAAATTTATTGCTTATCCGAGTACCATTGGTCGTGTATAAGATATCCAATACTGTCCTAGGTAACATCTTCGCTTTCTCTGTTTGGTGGTTGTGCATCGTTCGAGCCGCTACGCACCATTCGTACACACAGCCCCCTTATTACCCTCTATCGCAAGTTCTGCCACCATCGAAAGGGACACAAATGGCATACGCTTCTAATTGTCATGTAATAGTAGTTGCAATAGCAATACTGAATATTGTTTTGATTAATAATGAAGACACCTCGATAGTAATGTCATACCTAGTGGTAATTTCGGACGTCTTGCCCTGCTAGAAAGGATAAATACTTATTAGTTGCGCATTATAGAACACACTGGCGCTCCACGTTTGAATAGGTCTATGAATACTCATAAGATAAGGAATGCATGCTCCAAACTGCACCATTACTGCTGACCACGTTTCTGCTCCTCTATATTTGGAGTTCCCACTAGCCCTATAGACCTCGATGAATGTCCCATATCTATTTTACATATGTACTTTTTCATCGCTTGCTAGACGTACTCTAACATCATCAGCACTAGCAATAGCAAGTTGTGACAGTAGCTAGAATCGTTTCTTTGCGTTTTTTTCCATTTCTGTATACGAACGTAAATTCTGTGTTACACTGGGGGCTCCCTGACGATTAAGTCAACGGGCATCTTTTCGTTTTTCCACGTCTGTCCGATTCGAAACTATGAATTTAATGGAAAGTTCGTATCATCCAGGAGCGTTTGAATCATTCCGTGTCCTGCTCCCTGTGACCCCTCGTTTTGCGCAGGATCTAAGGGAATTTTTCTCCTCAGTTCGCAACTGCGCATTCCGGCCGCCGCCTCTCCTTTAATGGTGATAACTCTTTGAAGCGGAAGGTGGCTTAAAGGTCACTATTTGGATATTATGACTTTATTATGGGGTCCGCGCTATTAAGGACGACACTTGCTGAGGCAAAGCCTACTCTGTTGCTAGAATGTTGTTCGGTAGAGCCAGAAGGACACAGCAATGTTGTATTCAAAAATTATTCAAGAGGTATGAGCAACTCGAATAGTGGCAACCGACTTAAACAGGTATAATAAAACCAGACTATGTGCGGGCACATCAGCCGTATAGAGAGAACCGTATCGGAAAGCGTTTGCGTCTGATTATTATGTTGAGCCCAAGCAACAAGTCATACATAACAAAAATAACGGTTACACATTAAAATTGCTGAAATCGCCTGAATCAAACGCGAGGACGACTGGCCAAAACGAGCTTCGGGAATATTTACGTGTTACGTGAGCTGAGGAATTGGCTTGCCATGCATTTCAACATCATTTCCCTTTCTTAACACCTAATCCTTTTAATGTCATAAATACTTCGTTCACTTCCAGCTGAGGCAATTTATGCATTCTTTCTAAGCTTAACTTGGACAAAAAGTTGTCGCAGTGCCAATTAGGTAAGTCGAATCTATACCTTACAGGATATCGATCCATAAGTGTCGCAGAATTTAACTTTTTAGGGTAGTTATATCACGTTTTCTAGACTAGAAAGAATTGCCACACCCACCGACCCAAGACACAAGACCTGCTCTACTAAACCTCTTCTTTTTACCAACAAAATGTTTGAACGACTTCGACAATATGGTCGTCAAAAGTGCATTGCAGTCACTTAAGTCTTCTAAAGGTCGACAAAAGCCTTTGTCATCGAGGTACTATAACGCGAAAACTACAGATACGGTAATGTCGCATAAAAAATACTGCGTTTTAGCTATATTTAGGTGAGATCTCTTCGGATAGTAGAACAAAGCTTCTTTTTAATATAATCAAGTAAAAGATATAGCCCTATCGCCCTGAATTTACACGAGGATTTCTTCTAGTGGTCGTAAAGGTTACTGTAGATACCGTTTTGAATATGAAAAGCCATGATTTAGCAATATGTTAGGGAATCATTTTTTATAGGTTCACATATTGAAAACAATAAGAAGCCTAGCGGCAAGCTTTTTTTTGTAGACACAGTAAAAACAGAAGAAGTTTGCGACATGCATACCCAAATTTCGTTAGCGGCACTTGTATACACAGTAACGGAATAAATGAATCTACACGTGAATATCGCACTAGGCAAATGTACGGATATCGCTAGACAATTCTTCAACGGCTTACACTGCTCAACCCGCCCATCTGACCCTTATCAGGAGCCATATGTATTGCACGAATCTGCTAATTTTTGTTTTAGTTTTACTTTTAAATATAAGGGTTAAACTATATAAGACTAATAACTAGCTTCAAAAGAGGTCAATGATTACCAGTTTGCATGCGTATCTGCTATTTACGTGCTTTTGTCCCATCGGCTTTCATTTCGAAATTATATCTTCAATGGACGGCTGACTAGCATTAATTAGGACGCTATTATTTCTGGGATGTTCGCCTGGCTCACATTATCACACTAGTTAACCTCTTGGGAATATTTAACGGTAATAATCTTCCATCATGTGCTAAAACATGTGCACGTTAGGCGTCAAGATTTCTACCATGTGTAAGGTGGTAGTACGTCTTACTTCAAAGCTGCCCACCTAGGCAAATAATTATATACTATAAATATACTATGATACCCTAGTGGGACTAAGCTATATGAGGGAGATATACCTTTTCAGCTTTTTTGTCGACCTTTTCAAGGGCATTAACCGCTTCCCGCAAGCTCTTCACCACCTCAACGGGGTTTTTAATCGATTTTCCAAAGAGTGGCATCTCGCTCATCCACCGAACAAGCACTTGTCGGTACCGTACGGTGCGTTACCTGTAATTTTTTAATCATCGTATCTTAGAGGCCGTGCGCTTACATCACCGGGTTTTCAAACAAAAGCATACTGTATAATATTCAGGAACTACAACGAATGCACTTTAAGAAAAGAAGCAATACGTTTCATTATTATTCAGCTCAAAGATATACAGTAGCATAACAGAGAAGGTTCATACATGCAATGTGACGTCTAATATTGTTCTACATTATTTCACAATATATAGATAACGATACACTTTAGGAAAATAGTGGGATTTTTGTGCGCGACTTATAGAAACGTTTAGACATGGGAACTTCGTTCGGTACTGTATCTGTATATACAATAAAGAATCAAGTTCATATATAGTATCCACGGCAGTTTAGATTTGAAGCCAAATTACAATTTCTACTACTACAGCTTACCGAGACATTTTTGAATCGGGGTTCAAAAATAGAGCGGGGCCCTAGGCTTAACCGATAGCCTAGGTGGCATCTAACACATAATACATTCACAATGAACTGAGAAATTTATTAAGAACACCTTATTTATTCGCAGTACTACGCTTAGGTATAGAGCGCTTTAGCAAAATATACATTTAGGCATATTACGTTAAATTTAAAACAACTAGTTTTATACAACTTAATACGGCGAACATTTAGCTATGGTTAAGTATTTGCTTTTACTGTGTGTAGGGGGGTACTTCATCGGATCTGATGCGATGTTCTCTGGAGAGATGAGATGATAGGAATATTTTTCCGACAGCCTACATAATAGAGCGATCCTTTCACTCGATCCGCATCTTCATAATCCTTTATCAAGGTAAAAGAACTTTTCGGATCTTCTGCTTATGTCCGGTTTATGTTAAATAGAAGCTAGACAGGTGTTAGGATACATATCGCCTCACTTAAACGCTATAGTTAAATCCTATGAACTATAAGACATACAATTCGACCACACACAGACTAAATAACAATAAGTACTTGTTATTTCGTATAATAAAGGGCATACAGAATACTTGTCGTCATAATAACGATATATAGTATTTAGGTGTAGTCGTGTGCATGTTTAGTGTTCAATATCCCTTTCGCTCACTCATTTTGTGCAGCCTTAACGGAGACGGCTCTAAGAGGAAGGTAATTTCGTCGGTAATTTTAGAGCCCTGCTCGCCTACTGACTTATCTTCATAATAGCCATGTGGTGCCATCGTCAAAGGTCTCAAATAGACAGCAAAAAAGCGGACTAAAACACTACTGGTAGCATATACGGCAGCGAAAGGACGTTGCAGAATCTGAAAGTCAAGACCTAGTCATATCGCTGTTGTCTGCAGTTGCCGTTCTATTAGAATCACAAGCAAGGGAGCTACTAAGAAATCCTGTAAACTCGTACAATTTCTTGTATGGTCTATGCGTCATAGGGCCTGTTCTCCGTATTTAGAAACAGCGCTTAGTAGGGAAAATAGATAACAATTGCAGTCGGATTGATCTCTTGCTTTTTTCCACTCACTTCGACGCTGTAGGGTTTCATGCGATACCCCACTCTCACATCAGTTTATGGTGCCCATGATAACAGCGAGCTTCAAACGGACGGGCGCTTTCTACTTCTATTGATCCATTTGCCCTTGTACGTGACAATTTTTACTCGGGAAATCATTCGTTTATGGCGTTTGTATGATACACACAAAAACAGAAATAAATCTGGCTGGTGTAAAGCCTACAGCTTTCCGTGAGAGATAGATACATACGTCCACTACCGACTAATAATCCTAAAGAGCTGCTTCAGTCTAGACGTACCTAGCAGAAAATTGTGAAGGCATTACGTATTGAGTTAGACCGGTTTACACAACTGCCCACCTTATTCAACAAGGAACTTTCCCTAGAGACATTTCGCTTCTCCATTTCTCGTTCGGTTGCTCAGAAATGCCGCCAGGAAAGCAGGTGGCTAACAGCAATCGTCGCAAGTTCTGGATGGAGCCTTGGAACCAGGTACAAAATATAGTCGTTAGCTTGAGAACTAAGCATGTATTTTATCAGAAAATGATTGGATGATAGTAAACGAATAAAAAGCAGTTTTAAGGTAGATTCTTAAATTTCCCATTCGGAAATGATTGATCTGAATAGAGGCAAGGAAAAAAGTAGTCACTCCGTAAGTATTCAGGATAGGGTCACGTCTGAGATCTGTGAAAATCTAGTTTTTTTTAACGTCCTACTGCAATATACCTAATACAATATAACCTTTAAGGTTCAAATGGACGTCAAGGGTCATGCTTTGTTATCGCCAGGGTATATATCTGTCCGACTAACTTATTCTCAAAGATTCTAAAAGCATCAGCTACTTTAAACGCTTGTTGATTTCCGCTTCTGTGCGATCAACAAAAGCTGTAAATTACATTATGGTTCACGCTTCAGCAAATAAAAGGTGAGAGTTTTCACAGTCTTACAACGATTATTAAAGCAAACATTGGGTAAGACAAACCATGACATATTTTGTTGAATGTTAGCGCAAAGCTTAAGTGCTCACCACCTATTGTTTTGACAAGATGCAGCAAATTTCATTACTCCACTTTTATAAGCGGTTCTATTACTTCCTAAATATATCAGCTTCTATGCCTCCTAATATATAGAGATAATATATAATTTTTTTTTGTAAATAACGGACAACAAGTACGCCAATTTAGCATTCAATGTTTATCTTACTCAGATTCTAGACCCCATTTCTCTCCTTCCCTCTACAGATTTCCGCTCAGTCTGATGTGAACAAATGGGTTAAAGAAGATCCTAAGGTCGCTAATGCACTTTCTATGGTTTATATTGTTGTTCTATATTCGCTAAACACCTATATTAAAGAAGGACATCTTCTGGGGCCCGTCACTAGTTGGTATTTGATTTTTTGCCCATTACCCAACTCAGGGTTTTTTTGTGGATTGACTTCACCAAACATGTAGGCTAGGTCTTGTGTTGAACATTATATTGTTGAACTCGTATGGGCTTCTAATTAAATCTGTCCATAGTAATTTATTAAGAGAAGCCTATAGTATCAATTTAGCATAGATTTGTTCTGCAATTCCTATTAATTTACCTACTTAGCTCAGCAATGCGTTTCGTATATACTGGCAATGAAGACGTAAAGAGACTATTAATATCCATAACGTACACCCCTCACCTTCACCGACTATTTCTATTTCTACGATCGCTACCCAGCGGTAAGGAACTGCCTCCTATACATTAACTGTGCGTCATAACTTCGCCAACGTAAACCGCTGATATATCTTTATATACTGGTAGCTGCTGTGTTTTGCAGTATAGCGTAAGCATCCAGCAGTGCGTACAAACAAATGCTCCTAATCAATCTTTGAGCCAGCAATAACCATTTAGCAAAGTGCTAAATCACTTCAGATGATCGTCTATTGCTACGCTATGTCTAGCCAATTGTACTTCGCCTGATTATACGAACCCGATCCGATTCCAGTGCATTCAATCAAATCGGCTTCCACCTAATCAATGGTATATAATCACAAGTTCATGGACTGTTAAGCGACCGGCGATACGTGTGCTCCTATCGAACGACAATTCCAATCTTAAGTTGCTCTGATCCCTGCCGATGTCGATCCCGGTGGTTGACTGAATCCGTTTGTGCTCGTTACATCCGTTTTCACATGTTCATAATCATACTAATCTCGCGCACGCGATATTTTTCTTGCTGCTTGCGGTATTCGCCATGACGGGCAACTCCAGCCCCCACATGACAAATGCTAACGGAAATCGTCCTTCGGTTCACGTAGGTGATAACGAGTAGAAGGAGAATTACAGGTGTGTGGTATAACTACAAGTGACACAAAGCACATTATCCACACTTTTCCTCTAGGATTCATTCAAATATCCGTTACGTACTGCTGGATGTAGCTCAGTTAGCGCGAAAACACTGATAACAGACGACATCGAACGAGGTGATTGAGTTAGTGGGCGCAGAATTTCGAAGACATTTTGTTTACTACTCGTTAAGTCGCGGAAGTCACTCACCAGCTGGCTGGCAGCATTCGATATTCACTAGGTAACTGGGCAGAGCTTGCAATTTTTGTTTAGATCGCACGCCGCTGCTGCTGCTGCTACTACTATTCCTACTACGGGTACTCCTGAACCTCTGCGCGAAACAGCTCTACGCTGCGTGCTCCGAGTTCGTCAGTGTCTTAACGTGAACGACGCGGACCGATAAGACGGTCAGCGTAATACAGTTCACAATTGTTTGTATGCATTACTGTCAATCAAACACGACTATGTACAGCCACTTCTCTATAGGAGAAAATGATTCTCTATTGGGAAGAGCGCGGAGGCTGCAGGCAAGCCTCCACAGCATCATCCCCTCACAGAGCTCCAGAGAGAGCAGTAAACGGCCTACATGTAGTATGTCGCACTGAAAAGAACCTAGCGGCAAAACCCATTCCCAAAATGAGAACGGACACAGCAAAGCGGGTCGAAGTCTCGGGGGGCTCCATTTTGGAGGTGGAGGGCGGGCTGTCGGAGAGGCCTTGCCCTTTCACAGTTTCGAGGGGAAGAGCCGTTGTGGCATCGTAGCCGTTCTGCATACCTCCCATTACTCAGGCTGTACATGCAGTTTCCCCTGCCTACTCTTTACCCATTTTTCCCCTGGGCAGTTCTATACTAAATAGGATTTCGGAGGACATCGGTAAACACTATATTGTAGAGAAAACGCCAATGAGAATAAGACAATACTAACGAACAACAGACGGTTGATAACCGCAAAACTTGCTATGCAGTTGTCTGAAACGTTGTGGCTAGAATGTTTCATCAATACACACACACAAAACAGAGATTTCATATTTTGTTTTTCAGTTAATCCCTTTTGTTTAGAGCTAGAACCCTCCTAGTTTCTATTGGATATCTTGCGTATAGCAGTATTTTCCAACACTCCGCCAGACCAAACAAACTGGATTTGCATATGTTATGTCCCGCAATGTGGCCTTGTATCGCGCCTTCCCCGCTATAAAGGAAGATTATCTCGCACTCGAATATTTGCTCCTAAGCACGGTAAGCCCTTTTATGTCAAGATGTCGTTGTAAAACGATTCACAATTCTTCGTGTTCGAAGTTGTACGCGTTGCCTTTTTCATTTCTCATCTTTAGAAACAGCTGTTACATAGGTAACATTTAGTTGAACCAAAACGTACCTGTAACTTACTTTCGTTCGTTCCTAAAGAGATCACACGAATCAATATTCAAACGCAAGTGTACTCAATATAATTAGAAAAAATTCAAATCTAAAATACTATTTCTATTCACTTCCCTGCGAGGATAACTGTATTCAGAAAAACAGATATAGATAGAATTTAAAAACCTTTTTCGCATAGAAGAAATTCTGTTTTGATCTTTGCAGAATAGAAATATATCCTTCGTAGCATTTCGTCGTTGATTTGACATCTATGTTAGACTTTTCTTGACCTAGACCTTTATACCCTATAACGTTTTAACATTTGGCGACTTTTAGAAACACAGAGTTGGGTGCAGTGTCGTTTTTGCAACGCTTAAAACACCAGCGCCTGAAGCATGCAAAAGCATTCGATGAGTGTTGTTGCATGCGCATGCTTTGGTATCGCTAAAAACGATACTGACACAAGAACCTGACACAAAAGAGATTTCGTAAAGACAGTAAAATAAATACAAATCGATAGTGTATATATGCACCACCATAACTTGCCGTGATATGTGAGAAAAACAAAAAAAAATGTTGGACTGTTACAAGCGAATCCGCCAAGGTTTGAAATGTAATAACCTTTAAACTACGCACCGCTAGCCCGCGAAGTTCCACTCTTCTAGAGGTTTGTGAGTTAAAACAGATTAAGAATTTAGTTCAGAAAAAAAGACGTCTTTGAGCCTCGAATCGACGTTCAGTGGTCAAATGTTTGTTCTTTGATGGCCAATCCTGCAAAATTCATCGGGCATTCGTGATGACATTAGGTAGGGGCGGTGGGATCTCAAGGGCAAGAACGCATCGCTGCAATCGAACATGCTTTCCATGATAAGTGAGCTAAGACTGGCGTTTACACACAACGCGTTACAGAATTATAGTCCAAATAACGCGGAAACTGAGTAAAAAAAAATGGGTGTCTTGTGAAATCGGGTTAGGTCGTTTGAAAATGAGTGTGGCACATTTCGCATGAATTTTGCAAAACTTTATTCAACACCTTGCGTTTCAGTTGTCATCGACGAAGCATCGTGCAATTTCTGTCAGAAAAGGACCAGACGAGAGAATGACGCTAGCCTGAAAAGTAGGTGGGAGTGTCAGATAGTTTCAGCCGTAGGGTAGTAGTAGTATTTGCAGCGGACTTCAGGAGCATCTATTACTACCACTCGTCAAAAATAAAATAATCAATGCAGCCATTCTGAGTTCCTCAAGAGACTCGTAGCAAAGCCGAACCTCATTGCCATGTTTCCTTTCTGGATTGGGTAAAAGAATAGCCAACGTTGGCCTCGACCTGCTGATTCTCCCAATCCAAATCCGTATGATTAGAAGCCTTTCGATCTCCTAAAAAAGCAACTGTGTAAAAGCATATTCTAATGTTGGTTTATTTCGAGAAGCCATAGATAGAGAAATTACATACAGAAACGCCAACTGTAGGTATATAGCTATTCAGAAACTGCCGGAGCGCTGGGACAAGTGTGAGAAAAAAGTGTGCATGGGATACTATCTTCAGCACATGTGAGAAAACTTCATTCTAGTTCCGTAATTTCAAAGTTTACCGGATTCGTTGCTGACTGCCGAATGTATAAACTATAACATCGAATGGAACCGTCACTATTAGAACTTAGATTATTAGAAAAATTAGCATCCTAGTTTAAATTCTGATTTTTGTTCGCCAAATATACAGAGCTTATCGAGATAATACATCACGGCAATTAACAAACCTAATAACATTACAATGATATTTATTGACGTGAAATAAACGACTTTTTGAACAAAAAATAGAAGCACTAACTGCATTACCTATAATACCTTACTATACATGCAGTATGATTATCGCAAAAGTGATCCGCGGACAGGATTGTCCTGCAGCAGTCTCCCTACATCCCTTATAAGCGGCGGATTCACTCGCTGCAAAGGGACCCTTTTCTGCGTCCAGACAGATAGCTATCTGCCATATGCGGATAGGCGGAACAATTTTCTCTAGGTAGTCAGCAGACACGACATCGATACGTTCTTTAACGCTAGGCATTGTACCACTAGGTTACATAGACGTCAGTATTATTGACCTCTACGTCAAAAGAAAGGTCGAGCTCGTTTTCGTGCACCGCAACGGCTCAAGCTTTCATATCTAGTGTGAGAGTCCCATACGGAAGCATCTATTCCTACCTGCGATAAATGCACCTTATTGAAGGGTAGAATGCATACATAATTGCAAGCCAATGAGAGGAGCAAATCTATAAATATCAACATAATGCAGCAGTGTTTACTTAAACTAAAAGCATTTCCACATAGCTAGGCCAGCTAGCTGGCCTTCTGAAGGCTGCCGCAAAAAAGTAGGAACAGAAAAATAGAGACAGTCGCGCTAACAGCAAAGGCAAAGGATCGGGACAGACGCGCAGGTTGAGGATACGGCGACGAACAGCCTGATAACGCGAAGCTGTCTTATAAGCCGGTATGTATAGGACGAATAAGGTGCTTATGCAGAGAGATAAATTGATGTGAATAGGCCGCTGTGCTCGCAGCAACGTATGGAAGATTACGGTCCGTCACCCTTGTTTCTAAAACGCAACTTGCACTTAAGGGATCCTAGGTGACCGAGATGAAGCGGAGCACGGTTGCAAATAGAGGGCATAGAACAAAAACAAGATTGGCATTCATATGCGAGTTGCGGGTAGGTGAGGCCGGGCGCATACCGAAAATTAATTTAAATTTACAGGTGTTTTTCTGCTTTTATGAGTCTTAGGTGGAAATGCTTAATACTCATAAAATGGTTAAAAAATTGTTATTGTCCTTTTCCTGATTATAATTTGCTTTCAGCGAAACCATGAATTAAGCCTAGTGAGCATACGATTTTATATATCTCTGAAGCAATATATAGGATGTATGATTTTAGTTCATATTATTTCAAATTTACAATGTGCAGGGTTGTATGACTTTGGTAATTTTAATGTTATCAAGACACTGGAACTCCACTAGAATTATAAAAACGTAAAATACGCTGTTCATTGGTCCGTCACAATTCCGTAGCACTAGGAACTATACGCTTCCAAAACATATTGAGAGAAAGTTATTCTTACAAAAGCCAAAACGCTTATTTTGTCCAGCCACTTTGAGACCTCCATGGGATATTGTGTTTGTATGGTAGCATAGCCTGCAAGGAAGTAGCTGCCGTGTTACAATACAACAAGCACAATGATGTCACATGTGCTAGTTATTTAAAAAGCGTTTTTCGCCGCCTATTTGAGGGTCCGTGGGATCCTTCTTCTGGCTATCCTAGCCTAGCATGGAAAAGTATTGACGCTGGACAAGATCACAGGTCCTTTCCTTGTAACATTGATCGAGTCAAACGGCTTCTCACTAATAGCGCCCTAAATTTCCATTCATTCTATTCTTAGGTTAAAGATTTAGTTGCGCTGGCCAAGGTGTTCTCTGCAATGACCTGTGTTAGAAGACATGCACAGCGATAGAAACAAGACGTCAATAGCTTTGTTTTCATTTTATTGGTTTGCAATCATTTCGTTAATCCGCTAGCTTGAAACTGCACAAAAAGTGACCTCCTGGTTGTCAAACAAGTATTCAAAGTTTGAGTATCCTTATGAACTTTTTTACGAATCATTTGTAACTGCGTTTGGAGTGTTTCACATGTAGTTCAGTGGCAAAACAGGATACCGCAATAAAGCTTACGGTCCTCCTGGAAAATTCACAGCGTTGGCTGAATAGTATTTTCAACGCTATAGGATATTTATAGCTATGATAGAGATCTTATTTAAACTATCATCGCGCGGAAGAAGGATGACTTCATGACCGACGTAAAACGGAAGTAATGTACACATACTAAGTACAGGCGTGTGATGAATTTCCGTTATGGACAATAGGTGCTTAGCAGATTTTTGAAACGTATTGGCACTTGAAGGCTTCAGAATTTGGCAAAAACAATGCAACGTACCACTCGTTATTTTTTTTTAAACTAGCTCCAATGTTGACACGTTATGACTTTTTTTCTCTGCTGTGTTTGCCTATGAGACTTAATTTCTAGCTGAAACCAAGATATAAGTCTCATAGGCAAACACAGCAGAGAAAAAAGCTGTCAATTTCCGGCCGTAATGGCTTTCTGATTTTCGTAAGTATCATATAAACAATACAAATGATGACTGAATTCGCAATATATACTGAATCTATATGAGAACCAACAGGTCAGTGTATGGCTGTCTCAAACGGTCGGGTCCA